TGTGCAAACTTGACACAGACAGTCGCCCGAGCTGGAATCGAACCCAGGTCCCTGGTGCTGTGAGGCAGCAGTGCTAACCACTGAGCTACTGTACTGTCCATCTTCTTCGCTTTCTAAATTGCTTGCTACACCAGCATTTCATTTTTGTGCTTTTGTACAAGACTCAAAATCCCTCAGTTACCTTATTTTGAGTTTATTGTACAAGGTCGATGTGATACAAATTTAAAGTTTTAGTCAAGAGAAATGATGAAAGATATGCGCCGCTGGAAATAACAATCTGGAACGTGCTGCCTGTGAGGACAGCACCAGTGAAAGATCAATGATTTCAAAAGAAAAGTGTATGAGCACTTGGCATAAACAAGCTTACAACGCAAGGGGAAAGACAATGGAGGAACTGTCCAGAGAAACCTAATTTGTATGGACACAATTGGCCTCCTTGTGTGCCCGAACGACACTGTGCCCACATTATAATACATCTGCAACCTTGCTAACCTACTGCTCCAAATTTATACTCTCTATAAATCCCAAACGATCATACTCCAATTACAATGCATTTCGTGCATCAACAGATATTGCTTTCAATACCTTTTCCCATCAGACTCAGTATCCAACGATTCAATCTGCTTCCTGCTTAGCTACAATTTCCACAATGATTGACAGCTGATTACCCACAGCCAAAATTTGTAAAATGTTGATCATCTTGGAGTTCCTTTGATCATTTAAGTTTCACTTGAAATGTTAAAACTAATTAGTTATAGACACTCAACCACTACATAGCAAATATTCTTTCACCCTTACCAAACTTCCGTACTCTGTAAGCAATTCACTCCATTTATTACCACTCTCCAAAAACTCTCTTGACATTTTTCTCGCAACCTAGTTGACCCCTCCCTCTGTAAATAATGCAAATATCATTACAACTTTCCAATCCCCAAGGTACACTTTCCAAATCCAGATAACTTCAAAACTTATGACCAAAATGTCAAAACTTTCTTACCATAAGATACAGGAACAGAATTAGGCCATTCAGCCCATCGGCTCTGCTCCACCAACTAATCATGGCTCATACATTTCTCAAACCAATTCTCCTGCCTTCTCCCCACAAGTCACAATCCCCTTGCTAATCAAGAACCTCTGTCTTAAATACTCTCAATGCCTTGACCTCCACAGCCTTCTACGGCAATGAGTTCCACAGATTCACTGGACCTCCTGCAACAACAGCCTCAGCAGTACACCTCTCCTCTTATATTTCAGCCCCCTTGAAAGAAATGCCAATATTGCATTTGCCTCCCTGAATGCCAACAGAACCAGCATTTTAACCTGAAAAGAATCCTCAACTAGGACTCCCAAATCCCTTTGTGCTTCCGATTTCTGAAGCTTTTCCGCATTTAGAAAATAATCTATGCTTCTATTCTTCCCAAAGTGCATAACCTTACACTTTGCCAGACTGATGCTTCCTCAACACTATCTGTCCCTCCACTTTTAAGGCATCTGCAAACTTGCCAACACTGGCCTCACAGTTCCTTTGTCCAGACCATTAATACATAATTCGAATTCTCTGAATATTCTGGAGCAGCAGCCTTAGCTTCATTTGTTGGACATTTGTTTAATTCCTATTATTTTTTCTATTTTGATTTCTTTTAACAACAGTAACAACAATGGTATACATTTCCTTAAAAGGAAGAAAATGCCTGAAGAAATAACACGCACAGATGTTAAAACAGCCTTTGACACCAAGACACATTCAGAAATATTTTGGCAGATGAAGGCTTTCTCAAAAAGGCAGATTTATGAAATATCTTAAAGATCAAAGATAGGTAAAGGCAGACAGATTTGTGCAGAAATGGAATGACACACTTTCAGCCACCAAAAAAGGAGAAATTAAAATCAGAGTTGCACAAGATATTGGGACGAGGGTAGGACAAATAATTAGTACAGTTTTAGGCAGCAGGAGATGACAAAAGTTAGAGGGCAAAGCCATAGAGGAACTGAAAATAGCAATGAGGTTTTAAAACAGAGGCACTGCTTAACTGGCAGTCAATGCAGATAGTCAGCTAGCAAAAGGTTGATGGATGACTGGGATTCGGTGCAAGGTGGGATACCAGCAATAAAACTTTGGATATTTTCACATCAGAGTTTGCAAGGAATTGGGAGTAAACAAGCCAAGAGAAGCCACGGATGTCGTTTTTAGCAGCAGATAAGCAGAGGCAGAGCTGGGAGATGTTCCCTGAATGGAATCTGGTGGCCTTACCCTGCTGTCTTATCAATTATGACAATGCTTGAGAATAGTCTCAATCCATCTCAAATAAGTGCTTGGAGAGAATTAGAGATGATGGCTGAGTTTACACAGGAATCATAAGGCCGTAAGATGCAGGGGCAAAATTAGGCCAATCGGCCCATCGAGTCTGCTCCAACATTCCATTGTGACTGATGTGTTTCTCAATCCCATTGCCCTGCCTTCTCCCTGTAACCTTTGATCTGTCAATCAAGAACTTCTCGTTTTAACTTTATTAAGAGGCTTGGCCTCCGCAGTCTTCTACGGGAATGACTTACACATATTAACCATTCTCTGCCTGAAGAAATTCCTCCTCATCTTAGTTTTAAAAGGGTCATCCCTCCACTCGGAGGCTGTGCCCTCAGGTCCTAGTCTCTTATACTACATATTCTCCGTGTCCACTCTACCCAGGCCTCTCAGCATTCTGTAAATTTGAATGAGATCCACCTTGTCCTTCTAAATTCCATCAAGTACAGATCCAGAGACCTCCACCACTCCTCATATGGTCAGCCCTTCACCCCCATGATCATCTTGTAATCACTGATTCTTGTGATCATCCTCTGGACCCCC